AGGTTCGAGCCCCGCCCCCTAACTTTGGTGGTAGTCGACTCTGATGTCGTCCGGTTCAATACCACACCTAACCTATCGGGGCCTTATGCGGTCAGCCACTCCAAGTCGCGGAGCTCAGTTTACCGGTTTCCACCACTGAACAGCAAGTCCTCGTGACTATGGGGTTCGCCCCGTCTGCTATTCAACACACTTAGGTGTGTTATAGAAAAAATAGTTCGAACTAACCTTCGGTACTCATCGTTTACATCAATGTAAATCAAACACTGGTTCTCTGGTTTATCTTTTCAAGATATCAACTAGGCTTGACCAATGTCCCCCGCAAACACGTACTGCTATTGGCTGCAGAATGCTGAAGAGGCATGCGATAAACGTATGAAACTAAACCTGCCAAAACAGTTTAAATTTCGAAACAGATGGAACACAATCTAGCCGCAGTGATACAAACAGGAGAATGTGAGAGAATTCAAAGTGCACAGACTCCGTCACCAGCTAAAGTGGCAATTCATGTGATTGAGCATACTCTGAACCATTTGAAACTGGATTATCCGAAGGTATCCATCACACAGTTTCTGTGATTCAAACAGCTTAGCAAACAGCGTTTTTTAATGCCATCAGGGTACGTTTAATGGAATTCCAACTGAGTATACGTTTATTCTGTCTCATATGTTAGTAGGGTATACCATATTATTTGTATTGTTTAGTTTGCACAGAAACCTCTCTATACATTCCGCGCATTCCGGCGCGGGTACAACATGGATAGGGTGAAGAGTTCACACGGAAATGAGGAAGTAGACCGAGACATTCTTTACGCGCCGTTGATGTGCGTGTGAGACTCACTCGTTGCATCAATTTTGCAATTATGCAAAGGATTAACAGATAAGATCCACGGATACCGTTATAATTATAAATAGCCAGTTCATATAGTGAGAATAAACAATCCGTTGTGTGACATCCATTGTGGTGACAATTAATACCACTTTGAATGTATGTTTTTTTCTGAATGCAAACATTGATTCTGGCCACAAACAACCTAATCCACAGATTTGAGAATCAGCTATATGACTGGGGATGAAGGGGGGGTGGAGTGATGAACGTCATTTTGAACACAGAAAAAATCAAAAATGTTCTGTTGATCTGAATGAATTACGCTGGATTCAAAGTTATATGAGTCTTGTGGGAACAGGTAGATTTGAAGGAGTGAAAAACATTCATCATCCTAAGCCATCCTTCCTGAATCATACAATGTCGTACTATTGGTTCATTCAATCGAGTGAAGAACAAGACAGCAGAGCATCCTCATTCCTATGACTATCAATGTTTTTCAAGGTCACACACATTTTTGCTTATATCTATGCGACTACTCTGATATCCATTCTATCAAGGGCAAAAATTTGATTCGGATGCAAAATTCTTGGACTCAGGGGAAAAACAGCTACTCCATGGTTTTTTTAAACATGATGTCGTAGCGTCAACGTGAAATGTAAACTCTGCTGATCAGTGCCTGATATTCTATACGCCTCAAAATACCTCTGCGTCTATGGTGTACCCACTTTGATGAGGTGGGTTGCGACCCGTGAATCGTCATGTACATTGTTCTCACAAATGCGGGATCAACTTTCAGCCTAAAAGGATGTGCGAATAGCTGGACAACTTCGGGTAATCAACATAGCATGATTTGAAACCGATATTTAATGTTTTCTTGCCCTCTCTTGCTCTCGTTCACTCTTTCTGTGGTTAAGGGGCTTGAGAAAAGCGTGAGGGAGATAAGGAGGAGGAGTGAAAGGATTTGAGAATACGGAAGGTAGACTAATCGGGACTTGGATTCGTGCAAACTTCGTTACAATGGAAATCAGAACTGTGCATACACTCCATGACAAAATCGTAAATTCACTAATGAAGAGTGAACAATTCAACGGACCAGACATTTGAATTCAATAGATTTCTAACTTAAAGCAGTACTTAAGGTAGTAGTAGTAGTAGTAGTAGTAGTCGTAGTAGTAGTAGTAGTATATCCCTAATGTTCTGTAGGTTAGACTATTCTGTCCGAGTCTCGAAGCGAGTTGCTTCACATCAATCTCGGACTCTGGTTTAGGTAACCGATATGAACAACAGTCGACAGAACTGAATCACGATAGAACTGAGTATAAATTTCATATCAACATCTAATTTCCGTAGACTTTTTCCATTCCTTTGTCACATATTTCAAAATAATCTGACCCGCAATAAACAATAGTATCTTTGGTTGCTTTTCCAACCTGAAAAAAGTGAATTCTGACGAGTGTGGATAGCCCGAGGGATAGAAACCAAGTCGGAACAAAACAAAATTCCGCACTGATACGAACAGAGGACAATCGAGCTGAACTGTATTGTCGGCTCAGTTTAACATGATGGAAAATCTTCGAGGTGTAAATGGATGAGCATGAACAAATAAAACAAAACATGCAACGAAAAGAGCACAAAGTTTTATCATCCAGGGTAACTTAGTTNCTTAGTTATCATTTGAGATAGCAATATTTTCAAGTCGCCGATCTACCACTTTTGGGGGTCGTATTCATAAATGGAATCAACGTGGAACAATAAAGCCCTGATTAATTAATTCAAGTAACAGGATATGTTTTGTTTCTATTTGTGACGAGATAGGAAATTCGGTGAAATTGAAGAGCGTTTCATCAGCATATTTCTTATTATTACTAGTATTATTATTACTATTTCATTTGAACTTCGCCAATATCAACACATTTTGGACTGGGTGCTTTTGATGGAGTTAATTTTTGGCCTTTTAATTGAGTTGAAGGTATTATTAATCTCAAGTACGGCTGAACAATATTTACTAGGCTTTATGCTGCGGAGCCGCGGCTGAGTTGCCGTGCTCAAGATGCAGATCACTGTGATGGCGTTTCTGCNCAAATTTGATAAATCGGGTAGCTGCTTGAACTCTTGAACTTACGAAATGCGCACACACATCAAGTCCAGTGTTAGTACTCATCCGGAACGGGGATAAAATTCTAACATAAATAGATGATCATAAACTCCTCAGAAAGAAGGGATTTCAAAGACAAAAATTCAGGAAAGTGCGTGTAGCTAAAGTCGCTGTTCTGTTGTTGCATTGTTGAGGGTGAGCAGTAGGAGAGGGCTTCTGCAACATAAAATATATATATATTCGTTGAATCGCCGGTCAGTGAAAAACAGACCTTTTGATTCCATCCTCACATGAAACGAGACGGTAGGGACGTTGCGAAGGTCACTCGTCTGCCCCGAGCGCTTTACAGTGAGGTGTAGTGATGCTAAAAGTACCGATCATTTAGAAGTTTGCTTCATTTTGTGTTATGTCGTTCATAGATCACGGGTAAGGAAACGTCATATTACGAATGTGCAAAGCGTGTGTTTCTCTCACTTGATTTGCAAACCAACTGTTTCAGACAGACGCGGGTAAAATAACGCGGCCTAGTTATTGTATTTCTATACCCACCCACCAGCTGCGTTTGCATATGGAAAACGTCACACCGGATCAAAGACAAACGGATAGATCTCCGGGGTAAACATAACTCGTGAACCGAGCCATATTATTTTACCCAAGTGCCTTACTGTTTTGTTTGATTTTACCGTCAGGACAGATCACTTTGAGGTGCTTTGTACTGAGAATGCGATACACTTCAAAACCAGGCAGATTTCTGTTCATTTGACCTGAACTATCTCTTGCCTGGTGCTTTTACTACCCATGAGTGTGCCTGTGTGTTCCATCAAAACACAAGACCGTGCAGCTGTTGTACCATATTTGGTAGTAGTAGTGGCATTATGAGTTACTACTCACATTTGTGGGTAGTAGTCCAAAGAACGTGATTGATGGTTTCTTTCGACGGCCAAAAATAAACAACACCTGTTCAAATCGAATTGATGCTGTTTAGTATGGCAAATACAAGAATACTCATCTAAGCGTACTTTTCCATTGACCATCCTGTGTGCGTGTCGGAATTTTGAAGAGATTCCAAATGAGATTTTTCAGTGTATGAATGACAATTTACCCATTCCTTGACCGGGATTCGTAACAAAAGACTTTCCTCGACCGGGTACCGTCATCTAGAATTATTACAGTAGTAGTATTGGTAGTAGTAGTAGTAATAGTAGCGAGATTATACTGCTGCTTACTGGTGTGGCGGTTGGGGTAATCTGCCAGATGGCATATTTCACTCGATCACGTGATTTGATTTCAACGTACAGCATTGAGTTCATTCTCATTACGCGTGGTCCAGCTTTGCAGATGTTGCAGCTCGTAACAAGTGATGCTCGTCCCAAACCTGGATTTCGCCAGGAATGCACATATATGCGCGAGCGCACGCACACACAATCGCACAGTGTGTGCACTGTCATCGTACGGGATTGAAAAGCGATTTGAGGTGGGCTATTTAGCTGAATGAAATCTCTGATAACGGAACAAAATTGAAACCTAAGAGATACACTGACGCGCTGGTTCGGTTTTGCAAATATTCTATGTTACTAGTCCTTTGCGAGAGGTCAGGTCTAGCTAGGATGGATGTTTGGGGGAAACATTGTTCGTTTTGTTCCCCCAAACTCATTCTCTTCGTCTATTGTAAGATTGGTTAACACTTGATACGCACGTTACCTTGTATTGAACAGCGATAAACTATTTAGCAGGGGACAGGGGGATATACAAATCTTCGTTTATTGATCTTGTATTCACGAATAAAAATAATTCAGTTCAATGTCCTTTGGCCGGGAACGAAGAAAACACAACACAGCACTCTCTGTTCAAAAGATAACCAGCCTCAATAAAGGCGACTATCACAAAAAGGGCCTTGTTGAATACAGACCTCTGAGAATGCATGCGCTACTCACATGACATTGGTACTACTTTGGTGACCATCCCTAATTTCCAACAAAATATATTGTGAGCCTTCCTGTTGTGTGACCAGTCTATCAGACTGAGCAAATAGTCAGAACAGACCCACGGATCTCGGGGCGTTTGGATGCTTCCTGTTCTTCTACGCCTCTCCGTGTTGACCGACGACACGCTCGGCGATTGCGGTACGCGGTATTTTCATCCGTGATCCATATTCGTAAAAACCGGTCTCCACTGGAGGATTTAAAAACTGATTATTAAAAAAATTATAGAATACAATAGACGATGTGATTCATAGTCATGAATTATCCCTACATGGTGAGCGGAACGATATCGGTGAGTAAATTTCCAAAATTGAGGATGGGTTTTGTCAACAGCCGAGGAGGTTCATTGTTGCAGACATACTATCACATCGAAAAATTCAACAACTCCTGAAAGCTGGATTTCGAACAGCATCAGGATTGGTGAATTATTTTGGTCATCATTTGACCTCTATCGTCATCATCGACCTCTGACAGGCAAGGACAAAATCTTCAAACAATCCACTGAGTCGTCATGCAGGTTTTCATTTCGGCGATAATAGCCAATAGTGATCGTACGACACATTTTGCTTACAAGAAAGCATACTTAAGCAGGGCGGATACGTTCCATACCCACTCAATTCATGGGGTCCTCAAATTGTGACCTTTCCATTGAATTCGTTTGTCTAACTTCAATAGTGATGTGAAATTTGATTTTGGCCATTCACTTCGGTTTGTCTCTCACACAACGCGATGTAGAACACTGTAAGTCAGTAGATGGCTAGGGAGACAGAACTAAATATTCTAGTCTGATACTTTGAAGCAGAGAATGTTGGAAACAAATAAAGCAATCCTTGATGGATACACAGCTTCTAAGGAAAGGTGGAACCAAAACCTGGTTGTGAATCCGTAAAACACATGTCTGCTAATGGGTTCTTTATTGACGAGAAAGCACAGTGGGAGCAGGATGAGCGAAACAAACTCGAATCACGTGAATGCAGTGTAAATGCACGCTGGTAAAGCATGTATTTAAATCTCTTTCTGTCACGTGACTTATTTGCAGCTTCATTATCATTGTGCGTTTACGGTTCTGTCATTCTTTACACCGACGGGTTCGTAAACAGAACAATCCGAAGAGGGAATTTCCAATTAATTTTCCTATTCGGTGTAGTTAAAGACTTACAAATGAAATTGTGATTAGTTCAGTAGCCTCAGTGGGATTTGAACCCACGCCTGAAAGCCGCCTACGCCTATGCTACTGAACTTTTCAATTTCAGCATAAGACTTCAATCTGCTACTCGACAATTCGAGCAGCTATGGAACACCAGTTTCATCCTGGTTGGGATTTATCAGCCTCTCCCACGATTTTGTGTACCTGACGGGACTCGAACCGTGAAACTTCTGCTTTGAACGAGAAGTCCTTAATCCTAAGAATAGGATCTACCATTTACCGCTTTTGTGTGTGGCTTTATAAAGTAGGAATGTTTTGTTCTTTTTCGGTTATAATCGGGACAACTCAACAAAACAACACACAATATTACTTTCTTCATTTCACTTTGAGTTATGGAATCACGGAGCTACCCCCTACCAATTAGCGACTAACCACGTTATTCACCATTAATTCGGAAACATGCCATCTCGTTAAGGCACTTGAAATAAAACACAGGGATTTCTATTTTTCAATCGCATAAAAGTGGAGAATGAATAGTACAAGTGAACATAAGAGAGAGAGAGAATATGCACAAGCATGATGATCATCCGAGATGACAACAAGAAAGCTTGAAGGAATATTTGAACGGAAACATAGGAAGCAAACGGTGAAATAGTAGTTGACTAACTGTCTCCTTAGGAAACTCAACTCATGTCTCAAAGACTGAGTATGAACAGTTCAAACTAGGCGAAAACTCATGTTCCTCGCCCGTACGCTCTGCCGGAAATTCACAGAACGGGAACACCAGGACTGGATATGAGAAATACTCGTAAGCTAGGGAAAATTCATTAAACTGACCAGAAAGAAAACTTCACGATATATAGCTCAAAATGTCTGATCGAGTTTACCCAATCTATCCCAGATGAGGATGCTATAAAACTCATGATAGGCTCACTGGGTATACATACAATCCTCATCCACAAACTTACCGCTATTCGAAAAACGGTAACCTACCCACGCTTACCTATACCGATTCATCGACACACTAGGATCCCGAAAAATATCCCGAAGGAACTCCTCAAACAAATCCAATTATTACTTAGTAATGAAATCGGCAGACAGACGGGTATTATAGTCCAGCGGGGTTGCTTCTGTGCCCATTGCTAACAGCTTTATTTGTCTCCAAATTCGGAAATCACCAACTACGGAGAATTGTATAAAAACGTGCACCATACTATCGTCGTTATGTGGACCATATTCTTATCATTTTCAAACGAACCATTTCGCTCAGTATGGTACGGACATCTTTTAACTAGGCTCATAATGCTATTTTTTATGTTTCACACTTTAAATGGAGGATAGAAAAGATGTTTTGTTGTAACGCTGAAGAAAGCGACAGATGGAAAACCATATCTTTCTTACTGCTACAAATCAACTTGACACTGGCAGTGCATACATTTTCACAGCTTTGTCCCCATCAGATCGAGAAAGAATCTTGTGAGATACCCGTGGCAACCAGAACTCGCAGAATCCGCTCCAACGAAACGATGAGGGGAAGATGTTTGGAAATCAAGCATACACTTTGAAGCAACCGATATCCTGAATACTTCGTCGAAACGAATAACAGACAGAGCAGTTTAACGCCAGGAGTAATGACAGCGAAGTGAAAACAGTTTTTCTTACGATTGTCGTTAAAATACAATTTACCGGCGAAAAGAACAAGTTGATTGCCGGCATCTGTAAACCAGCAGACCAATACTAATTATTTATTTCAGAAATAAATTGCACGTCTTCGCCTCATCAATGATTACTTGTTTAGTTCCCTTCATCTGGACTGCGACTNCTGCGACTAGCGTAGGTTAGTCGATGAATTGATTGTCGCAAGGAATCAAAACAGCACAAACTGACGCGGCCTCTAGGATGATAATTTTGTAACATTACCACCAGGTCACTGTCCAGACAATGGATGATGATTGTGACACTGTGACCACGTTTAAACGCGAAGGTCAGTAGAACGCCACAGCGATCACACCTGATTCCATCGTTCCTCCCTCTCCCTCCTCCACCTCCTCCCAACCTGTACGTTGCATCCGTTCGTTTGTAGCATTTTATGAATTACTTTACACAATTTCATTACAATTTACTGACCAACTGACACTTCAACGTAGATTGTACAAAACCATGTGTAACGAACGATCAGAGGAGAAAGTTACGAAAACCAAGTTTTCTAAGAGGAATGAAGTATCTGATCATATTAGATTAGAAATATGTCGTGTAAATGAGGCGTGAGCTAAAAAGCTGAGAAGAACTGGACAGCTGTTTCAATCTGGTCGTGCGAATCCATTGACCCAACTGGGGATCGAACCCGGGACCTCACAAGTATTATACACACTATAACACGGCCCATCTTTCCGTTCTACCTATGATATCCCGGGTTCGATTCCCAGGTGAGTCGATGGAGTTGCACTACTGATTAGACCAAACCAGGTCGAAACAGCCGTCCAGTTCTTCCTAGCTTTTCTGCTCACGCTTCATTTACACGACAATCCACCATATGAAAAACCAAATTTGTTCACATTGATCTAGGGTTCACTTTTCGCTCTCACTGACACTACACTGACGCGAAGGTTTGCCCCCCCCCCCGCCCTCCACACACACCCGTCCACTACTGTGTGTCCGGAACTTACTTTTACCGCCATACACATGGATTCCGGCGTCGCATCTGACGGCAAAAACGGTGAATTGACTTGCGGTCCAGATGCCATGGACACTCTTCGGGGAGTTGGATAGAACGATCGCCGACGGGTGTTTGGACTGGCCAGATTGAAAACAGTCCCGGAAGCTGTCTCCAGACTGGAAGCCACCCACCGTAAGGTGTGCAGAACAATATGTTGTCGAGTCACATTGGTGGAACGTGCTGAGCGATAGCATCCATAGTGTGTGTGTGTGTGTGTGTGTGTGTGTGTGGTTGGCGGAGGGGGAAAGGAAGGGCACAAGAAATAATCAGAGAATGTTTATCTTTATGGATCAACAAACCTACGATGAGGAGAGCGTTGAGATATGGTATAAGACTGCAAGGATTATAGTTTGGAGATAAAACACCAAACCCCTGCTAAAAACAACTACTATTTGTTTCCCATCTGTCTAGGCTTTGCCACAACACATTCAGCTGAATGTGGGTGTTCATCATGAAACCCGACACTTGTGCAGTAAAACTATTTCATCATGGTTACATGTGGTTATTAGCAATAGTTCATATTAGTAATATTTTTATTATTGTTTCGCATTTGTTTATGATGAATACACGAGTATACGACAGTCAACTTTCATGATAGGAATGGGCTGTAGTTAACCAGAGACTAGTTGGATCACACACGTGAATTGGAAGGTTAAGTTATGGTGTTGGGACTCGAACACAGGTCCAACCGAGTACGATGTGATAATCACTTACAAATCAGTGCTATCGGTGCGGCCACGTAGCTCAACTGGTAGAACGTGCGTGTACAAAGTGTAGGCGGCATCCATGCCTGGGTTCGAATCCAATCAAGGCTACTGAACGTTCAACAATCACCATACAAAATTCCAATCTGCCAAACAACAATTTGAACTTACACTTATGCCCGTCATTCTAACGACTTGTTCAGACTGCCTCGGACTGTCATGTCTGATGAGAACACCCGGTAACTCGACAAATAATCTGCCTCTATCTCCATTTCCCCTACCTCATTCCACCACATACACAGACATTTGGAACAACTTCAAAAATAATTTATGAATAGCTTCCATTAAGTAATGCGTACTAATTGTTTTTACGCAAGTTCTTAACTTAAGGCGATATCGAATTTAAGGGACCAAACTGAGATGATCACAAAACATGGGAATTCTTCGATAATTGTTGTTTGTTTGGATGGTTCCTTCTTCGGATCTTCGAATTGGAAAAATGTACAGTTTCAATATTCTAACATTTACAGCAAGCTATTTTTAATTTACTGTAGAGATATTGCCAAGGTACTGGTGAACTGTATATCACGACTCAAAGTACTCGGCGGAAGGTGAACGCGGCGAAATGAATTAACAAGGAAAATTCTCGAAGATGTACGCCATTAGTTTACTTGGTGTTCTTTATAAATTTTTAATCATTTTCCGGAGGCACATGTGATATCTCTCACTCAATCACAAAGATTGAATAGAACTAGAAGAGGGATGAAACAGGACGTAAACGGATGCCTACATCCGATGAGTTTTAACAACCGACAAACCATGCATGCTCTACAAAATTAATTTAATCGCTAGGATGCCACTGCACTTTAGGACCCATAGTGCCTAACCCATACATTTTACGGGGAGAAACGTAATGTTTATCACATCAATACATTGACCTCTGAAACAGAAAGGTTTTGAATAATCCTCCGTTGTTCAAACAAAATATTTACAAAGCACAAAGATTGCTGTTGTTCTTAGGATGTGTTTTTCGATCATCATACATCAATATATGCGCCTTCGAAAGCCTCAGTATGGTCGGGGTTGGATGACTGTTCACTGCTAGCTTGCACGTCATGAAATACTCACATATGGCCAAGGGTCTCAAATGGCCACTGCTGAGGAGGCCGTAGTTACTACCTTCCCGTGGCGTAGGCGTTCTCCCACCAAAGTGTGAGGACAACAAGCCAACATCTATAGTTATAACCGAGTCGGTGAACCGTTGGCAGTTCACGGAATTTTGCCAAAAAATACCTAATTACGATCCAACCAAGAAGGAGCTTGAGAACCACACACGTGACCCAGCGGAGCCTTGTCTGGCTATCCACTACAAGTCCCGGTTTCCATTCTTGAACGGCAGGTTTTCCCGACTATGTGGTCCAAATTGGCTGCTGTTCATCACACAAATGTGTGTAATAAGAAAAAAAACATTTTTGTGGTTGTGATAGTGATCACCTGATCAACTGGGTATGGAGGTATATTGGGCACCTTAAACGTTTAACCCCGTCCGAAGGATGAATGATCCGATAAACTGAAGAGCGGTCCCTCAATAGATTGCGGTATTTTTACACACCACCTCGATACCTCGGCTAGCCGAGGTCTTCGGTTGTGAGCCTCCTAAGAAAATTCACGTGCTTTGGTTTGGGCAAGCTAGCAACAGTATTGCATCCTCCAGCAATTCATAGGACATTTTCTTTTTCATAAAGATTATTGTGCCGTGATTTGTTTAGCACGCAACCTGGACTCAGACGTATATAAATATATAATGTTCAGACTAAAGCGCCTAGAGTATATTACCAGGGAACGAATCCATCTAGTTTGTTTCTTATACACGATTACGTTTTTTGTGGAAACTGTGAAACATGCTAATTGACCTGAAAAATGCACCCAGAATCTGCCCTACTCAGAACATATCGATCTAGGTCATCTCAAAGGTCTTCTATCCCCGATATGAGTGATGCATTACGAGCTTTCTTGGAGATATACTGGTCATCCAAATCTCTGTTTTCGTCGGCCAGATATTTCCTGGAGTCATCTAAACAAGAAGCGGGTATTGAGTTGACAGAAATGACTGTTTTTGTAACCGACAATCTATTTTAACCGAATGATGTTTCACTAAACTATAAAACAGATTTGTCACATACGTGAATTCATAGAACAGTGCATTCACGTAAAAGTAAGATAATCCAAAACCTACAGATGGAATTTTTTTTCATTCCCAAACTGTCTGATGTGACCAGTATAGCGAGTGAGAGCTCTATTGGGGTCCAGATCTAATCATTGATTGAGTAAGTTGACAACCTGAGCATGCGCACTGGATCAGTGTCGTATTGAGTGAGCTAAACCACAGCAAAACTGCTGGGCTAGAATAAGATGTGAAACTGCCAACCCGGAACCATCGAACTGATGAGCCCTGGTGCCAGGAAGCCTATCACACCTAAACAAAAGCTTTTCACTAATTGACACATTTAGTCTGAATCCCGCTAGATCTTATGATGTGAACAATATTGTCTTATTGGAACAGATCGTAATAAATGTACGAATAGCGCGCTATTCATCTCAACGGAATGAATAAATAATTTTTTTTCAATTAATGCTTATTTCATAGATGAATGAAATAGAACAGTAATTGTGCTATGTGTATTTGACGATCAAACGCGTTCGGGGTGAAATGATCCGATTCGTAAAATCCCACTTTTTATGGACAACAAACTCGCTCGAACATCATCCGTTGAAGCAGAGTTATAGAACATGTTCAATGAAGTATCGCTAAATTGCGAAAGGGAAGTACCATCAGCGAATATATGCAATTCGCTCAGTCGGGGAAGATAGGTTGACCGTGGCGGGGTTCGAACACGCGACCTCCGTCATCACATACATATATCGTGCATGATTTCAATGAGCTGTTTCGATTGTCTTAAGGAGTGGAGGAAGAGGTAAAGGATTACAACTGTTGAGCAATGTCAATAATAGTGTAGTAGATTCACGAATGTCTAATGAGAACCGAATCGGCAATCTCATCGGTGGTGTCTGACTTCCAGTTGGAACCAAACTGCACACAGTCTTACGGACCGGATTTGTTAGTCCAAATCAGACCAAGTTTGATTTGCTGTCTCGATTAGGAATTTTGTTCCAAAGGTTAAACAGCAATCGTCCATCAATTCAATCCGTAAAATCCTCTGGAGAGGAATAGTAAATTTTTTTCAGGGGG